ACACATTGTACACATAGGATCAAAAGGTTTTTCTAATTTTTGTAAAATTGCATTTGTTTTCAGAGTTGGTATTTTTGGCAGAATATTGGTCTGGGTCAGATATTGTATTATATATAGATAAAGATGATTTTAAGAAATATTATGGAAAAGAACATGCATATTTAATAATGAATCACTGTTATGAAATCGATTGGCTTGTTGGGTGGATACTATGCGACCGTGTTGGACTACTTGGTGTTAGTTATATGCCTACATTATACATAATTCTATGTAAAAAAAAAAATGAATTATAAATATGTTACAAGTAAATTCTAATATTATGGAATTTTGCATATTGCAGAACTGTAAAGCATATGTAAAAAAGTCAGTACAATATGTTCCAACAATAGGTTGGACATGGAAATTTGCTGAAATTATATTCTTGGAAAGAAATTGGGACAAAGATAAAGAAATAATTAGTTCCCAAATCAGTGAACTTGCAAATTATCCAGATAGTATATGGGTAATTAAGATTTATTTGTTCAATATTTAAATGTAATTATTGGATATTTAAATATCACATTTTTAATGTGATAATAGTACTTTTCCAAATCGGTCTTACAGTTTTTGATTTTGCGTAAATTATTTTTAAATTACTAATATATTTAAAATGATTTTTGCAGTTACTTTTATATCCTGAGGGAACTCGTTTCACAGAACAAAAATTAGAGGCCAGTCATAAGTTTGCCCTAAAAAAGGGTATTACACCATTAAAATATCATTTATTGCCGCGAACGAAAGGTTTCACGGCAAGCATACAACACATGCGAGGTAAGATTCCCGCTATTTACGATGTACAATTACATTTTAAGCCGAGCGATCCAGTGAAACCAACAATGACAAATTTACTAATGGGAAAACGGCTCGAGGCGCATTTATACATGCACAGGATTCCGTTGGAAGAAGTGCCAGAAGATGAAGAAGCTGCTGCAGAATGGTTAAACAATCTGTATAAAAAAAAAGTATGATTTTAATTTCAAAAGGAATTATGTGATTATAAGATTTGAAAAAAAGATAGTACAATTAATTGTAAAATTGTTTTCATTTTTTTAAATTTCTAGGATCGTTTAGCAGAAAGTTTTTATGAAACAGGTGACTTTTTTGCAACAAGTGGCATACCCAGATTAGAACAGTTTGCAGTGAAAAAGAGATGTTATACATGCCTTAATACAATTATATGGGCAGTGGTAGTTTTAGTACCAATGATTTATTATTTGATCAATCTCTTTTTGTCTGGATCAACTATTTCATTCTCAATTGGTGTGGGTATAATCTTTCTAGGTAAATACTATAACTTGATATATAAAATGTTATGTCTGTTCATTATATTATTTAAAAATTCATACTTGTTTTCAAAATTCTAGTTTATCTGTCTATGCGCAAAATGATAGGAATGTCTGAAATAAGTAACAGTTCATCCTATGGGACTCATAATAAAAAAGTTGAAGCAGAAGAAAAGGAGCAAGTAATAAAGGGTACATAGAGTGAAAAAGCTGGAATATTATTAGAGCCAAATGAGTATTATCAAATTATCTTCACTGCATGATGTATTTCACGCAATTTTCTCTGTACAAATCATTATACCCAACATGTTTACAGTGATTTGCGAAAATATTTGGATTCTATATTGTTGATCGTTACTCTTAGTTATGTTAAAGATAGGTTGGAATGGGTTCTTAATTCTACATGACAGATATACAGTACTCTGAGAGAATATTTTTTATTAAAAAATATTTAAATAATTTGGGAA